AAAGCTATCTTGAATTCAAAATATGGGTCTAAGGATATGTTGTTTCTTCTGTTTTCACAGAAGATGAGAACCTGTGGTTTGCTTCTGGATTAATATGATTTGACGGATCAAGACCCCCTGAAAGGTTTCTGTGAACACCCCCCAAAATTATTTCACCCAATAAACAGCAGGAAGCAGTTTGGAGGAGAACTACACCCATATTCCCTAATACTGTTCGTAAATGCTTCTTTACATTTAAAGGGTGATATGCTATAGAGATTTGCATGGGTATGGATCTTGGTTTATTTATATAAATTTAAGGTCAATTTTGTTGTACTGTGTATGTGTATTTCTACTCTTGATTAAGGTATTGTGCTTGTGCATCTCATGTAAAAATGTAATGTATAATTAAGAAATCTAGGTTAATAGATAATTATCTATAATAGTCAAGCTTGTAGTCATGTTAATTAGGTTTTCTAGATATAATGAGATATATTTCATTTAGATAGGCATTCTTCAAACCTTTCAAAGACTACAGAATATGGCATTTTAAAATGCTTTAAGAACTTAGGGCTTTTCATGACAATGAGACACATCTGCTCCTGGCAGCACCGATCTACTTCAAGAGGAAGATGGGCATCAGAGAGGCTCCTTATGGAGATGGTTAGCCACTTGGACAAGAAACTGCTTTTGCCTGGACTGTTTGATGAACTGGACAGGCAGGACCTGCAGCGAAATGACTGCTGAACTTGTCTAAAGGTGAGATGATCCTTAGGGGCTCCTGCTTCATGAAAGAGTCTGCTAGACATTCTGCAGGACACAGAAAAAAGTGATTGACAAATTGCCAGTATAGGTGGAACTGTCTTTGAAATTTCTTGCTTCATGGAAAAGTGTGCTGGATACTATGGGCCTATAGGCCGAAAATGAACAGAAGAACTTTGGGTGACTGTCCAGTCAGCAAGATGTCTCTGTTAATTCTGGAGTTTTGGAAGTTGCACTTCCTGATAACTTAGGCAATATTATATCCTTCTGGAGTCTTTGATGGAGTTGAAGAATTTATAGTTATAGTTTTCCTTATTTATGATAAAAGGTAAAATATACATAAATATTGCAACTGTAGTTATTGCTCGATACCTGCTTTTGTTATATGTAATTTTACTATTTTAAAGTTAAAAATCTTTTTTTTCCATTAAAACAGAAAAGGGGAGATGATCTGGAATTCCCCTCTGTATGCTATGAATACTATTGGTGAATAAAGAAACTGCCTTGGCCTGTTGTTAGGGCAGAACTTAGGTAAGTGGGGAAAACTAAACTGAATGCTGCGAGAAAGGAGGCAGAGTCAGAGAGAAGTCGTGTAGCCCCACCAGAGACAGACGCCGGAACTTTACTTCGTAAGCCACTGCCACATGGCTACAAATTAATGGAGATGGGTTAAATTAAGATGTACGAGTTAGCCAATAGGAAGCTAGAGCTAATGGGCCAAGCAACGATTTAATTAATGCAGTTTCTGTGTGATTATTTTCGTTCTGGGCAGTCGGGATGAACAAGTGGCCTCCCTGCTACATTTTTTTTTCTTCTTTCTTGGCTGGTGATGACAGGGCTGTGGCTAGCCTCAGGTCCCACAGGGCTTTCTATCCTGCAGGTAGCAGAATGGGCTAAGAGAAGGGCACAATGGCCCTGAGATACAAGAGGCAATTGCTGACTTTCTTGAGCCGAGGAAGGTTCTATGGAGAAGACGGGCGAGATGTATACACCTGGACACAGTTTGGGCCTTGTTGGGGGCTAGGAACCACAGGGCTACTGATGCAGTTGGCTTTCTGCAGCTTTACCCTACTTCATGTGGGTGAAACACACTTACCATGCTGTGCTAGGCATTTCCAGTGACCGGGTTCTGCACCTCCCAAGAGAACTTATTTGAAGAAGTGTTGGAGCCCACAAGACTATACAGTGAATGCACAGCTAACAGACTGATAGACAGAACCACGGGAAGTGTATACGTCCACGTCCACAGCGAGCAACCCATTTTTCAGAGCTGCGGGAACACTTGTCTTTTGGAAAAGTCACTGTCATATCTGTGGAAACCTTATGAAGCCATGATTCTTCCCTTCAAAATGGGATTCATCCCCAGAACACCTCAACAGTGTAACCTCTGCTTGGGCAGTGAAATAACCTTGCTCCACTCCCCACACCATGAGGCCTCGGAACAATGACATTCACTCTTTGATCTAACAGTCAAACTTACATAGAGTCAATTCCTCAGAATTACCTGCTAACAGACCACATAGAAATTTCTATAGAAGACAGGCACTGAGGCAGCGTACCCCACTTTACGAACAAACAAATACTGGAGATCCCCAAAGCTGATTATCACCAAAGAGATTAGATGAGAAGGGTGAATCCAGGATTTGGGGATGTTTAGTAAGTTTATTTAATAGTTTGGAATATTAGGTACTTCCGCTTGAATGCTGGCTCTTCCCTGGGTCGGATCACCTGTTCTGGAGTACTGCTTTGTCAGGCTCTATCTGCCCCTCTTTGTGATTTTGATATGCATATTATCATTGTCCTTGTCTGTGGAGTTTTCCAACTATGTCCGTGAAAACTGGAAACCTCGTGGAGATCAGACCTCACTCTTACTCTTCTCTTTGCGACTTCTCCTTCTTCCCCTTACTCCCTTACCCTTCTTCTTATTCTTCCCCTTACTCTTCTCTTATTCTTCCTCTCCTCCGCACCCCCTTCATAAAAATAAATAAGATGCAGAGTAACATGCTTAAGTTAATGTTTTACCCTCAGATCCTCGCCTGACATAGACATCCAGTTCTGAACCCTGAGGGGGTACTGAGGCTGGTACTTAAGGCCCCTGACACAGAAGACTCTTGTCCCAACTTAATTTGGCACTTGGATGGCCAGCAGATGGGCAGATGAAAAAGAAACACTGGATTGCTAGGGTCTTTGAGCCTGTGAGGCAGCACTGATTGTTTGATTGTCCACCCGACCTGCTATACATTTCTACAGGTTTGTTCTCACAGCTAGCCAACCCCATGTTGATGTTCCGGGTCTCAGCTTACTTCCATTCCTTTTTAATTCTCATAATCCTAACAGCTAGGCTGTATTTTCATTTTAGCTAAAGAGCCCCTGGCATGTGCAGAGTTAGGCAAACTCCATAAGTTTACTCAGCAAACAAACAGCAGAAAATCCTACTTCAAAGCCATACTTGGGAGAAGCTCCCCAGGCTCATCAGCACCTGCTCTCTGGGAACCCATGGTCCAGGGAGAGGCAGGGTCACTTCAGTGCATCCTATGGCCAGATGCTTGCAAGGTCTTGTGAAGAGGGCAAGATGACACCGGTGCCACTGTCCTCTGCTCCCCACTGTCTGGAGTCTGGAGCAGGGCATTAGGTAGTTCAAACCTGTGCAAAGCAGCCTGTGTAGGAGTTGGTTGTCATCCTGCTAAACCTGATGTGTCCCCACCATGCAGAAAAGGCTTCCTCCCCACCCTGGTTAGGTGGGCTTCAAGCTGTTTTGAGGCCATTAGTATTCAGAATTATTATAGAAGGATGTGACCTGAGTGGATGGGACCAGGAAGGAAGAGCAGGTAGCATAACCTGGGTGTCTTAGTGTCTTAAGTCACTTTTGGTGCATAGAGTCCCTGCTGGGGTGGGCTGTGATCAGGGAGGGGGCAGGAGTCCCTGCTAGAGTGGCCTGTGATCAGGGAGGGGGACA